ATGGTGGCACACACCTGTCATCTGAGCTACTTGGGAGGCTGAGGCAGGAGGATTGCAAATTGGAATCTCATCTGGGCGACTTAGCAAGCTCCTGCCTCAAATAGAGTTAGGAGAGGGTTGGGATGTAGCTCAGTGCCAAGGCCTTGGGTTTCAGCCCTCAGCACCACCAAACCAAGGGCTACCCTGAGACCTGGGTTCACACTCTGATGCCCCTCCCTGACAGGTCAGAGTTACATGCCTGTGAGCCCTGCCCTGCTGACCACCCGTCAGGCAACGGTGGGTCCCCCACTTTCCCTCCGGGGTCAGCCTGGCCGGTTCAGGAGACAGCGGCACCATCCTGCCGGCATGTCCCGAGGCCTGGGGCTTCCCATGATGGGAGGGCCGGCCAGGCAGAGGGAAGAGGCAGCCAGGCTAGGGGAAAACCAGCCCTCCCCAACGCAGCCCCCAAGGTGGGGAAGAACCGAGGCGCTGCCCTGAGGGGAAGTTGGGAGAGGACACGGCCTAGAGATGACTGCAAACCGCAGTCCACGGCTCCTCACAACTTCCCTCCTGGTGCCTGTGCCTCGGTCTAGGCCTCCACTCCTGCCTCTCCCTGCTGGAGGGATCCTGCTAGGACCTGAGCTGGCCAGTGTCTGCTCAGAACCCTCTATGGCTCCCACCTCCTTCGGTGATGGCTGGAGGCCCTGCACAGTGTCCCTGTCCTTATCTCCCCCACACTGCCTTAACCACTGCTTTCCTGCCCTGGCGCCTACACAGGCCGGGCCCTGGGATCTCCCACAGCTCCCCTTGGATCAGGCCAGAACCACCAGCACCTGCAGGAGGGCAGGGGTGGAGTCTCCCTCCTGCAGGAAGAGACTCATGGATTTTAGCCTTGTAAGACTCATTAAAGCCACTAAGTTCCCTGTAATGTGTTACAGTGGCTGCTAACCCTCCCCCCGAAACTTGAACCCAGGGTCTTCACACTGAGCTATGTCCCAGCTCTTTTATTTATCTCTTTTCTGTTTGTTTTAAAACAAGGTCTCACTAAGTTTGTAAGCAGGCTAGAATTGAATTTATGATCCTCCTGCCTCAGCCTCCTGGAGTGCTGGAGTAAAAGGCATGCACCACCATGCCTGGCTCCAGAGTCATGATTCTCAGAAACCGTCTCATGAGCAAGCTGCTAAATTTGAGGGTTACTTTTTACACAGCAATGATAACTGATACAACTGCCATACAGTCCATTTCATTATCAAGCAGGACCTGTCTGTTCTTTATGATCACCACCACTTCTACTATGGGATTTATTGGACACCGTCTGTGTGCTGAGCACTGGTTTAGAAGATAGAAGCACCACAGTGAACAGTAGAACTCATATTCCCACCTGCAGGGAGTGCCCAGTCTGGTGGAGAAAACAGACCATAAGGAAAGAAAAAAATGCTGAGTGTGGTAGTGTACACCTATAATTGCTGTACTCAGGAGGCTGACGCAGGAGGATCTCTGTGAGTCTGAGACCATCCTGGGCCTGTTTCTCAAAAAACAAAAACAAAGGGATTTAGCTCAGTGGTGCCACCAGCTGCCTCACAAATGCAAGTTTGATCCCTGGTACCAATGCCCCCCCCCAAAAAACCCCAAAACCCCTAAAAAAATCACCCCCCATACAAAAAGGTGAGAAAAAAATATAGGATGCAAAGCCAGGTGAGGTGGCACAGGCCTGTAACCCCTGTACTTTGGGAGGCTGAGGCAGGAGGAGCACAAGTTCAAACTCAGCCCGAGTAAATGAACAACTTAGGGAGACCCTGTCTGAGAAATATAAAAAAGGACTGTGGATATATCTCAGGGCAATAGCCCTGGGTTCAATCATCAGTACTGGAAAGAAAAAGATGTTAAAGTTGGGTGTGTGCATGTGATAAATACTGCAAAAAATAAAGCTAGCCAACTTCAGGATTCAAGGCCCCTCTGAAAAGCTAACTTTTTTTTTTTTTTTTTTCCCCCAGGGGTCAAACTCAGGACCTCGTGCTTGCAAGAGAGGCCTGGTGCCATTGCACTAGATCCCCGGCCCTCTGAGAAGGTGACATTTGAGCAGATGCCAGAATGGAATGACGAAGGTGTCTGGGGAGGTGTGCGGCCAGCAGGAGCGGCCGAGCAGAGGCCCTGGGGTCACTGCGGGTTTGCGCAGTCAGGAAGGCTGCATGAGCACAGTGAGGCAGGGGAAGAGGGTGTGCAGCCTGGCAGGCGGTTAGGCTTCTGTGGGGACTTTGGACTTTCATCTGGAGGGGGAGAGGAAATGAGACCTTCCTTCTGGGCCCTCGGTTTCCTCTCTGAGCAATAGGTAGGGTGGCTTTGGGGACCCAGGGCTCCCACCTGTGCCTGCCTTAGGACGCCCTCTCAGGTCCCTGTGTGGTGTCGGGAGCCCGGGGTGCAGCCCCCTCTCCCCTGCCCTCCGCTCATGGGCCCTTGGGTCCGGGAAGCCAAGCAGCTTCCTTCCCGGCCCTGGCAGGGCTCCAGAGGGCCGGCCGTTGTGTGCTCAGCTTCACGGTCTCCCCAGCCAATTGAGAAAGGGCATCCGAGGCCAGGGGGACTGGGGGGGCCGGGTGTGAGGGCCCGAGACCAGACATGGGCTGTCGGGAAGGTAGGAGAGGCCCAAACCCTGGCTGAGTAACTGGGAGAGTGGTCTCTTGTTTTTGTGTCTTTTTGGGGGCGAGTTGCTCAAACAGTCCCTGCCTCTGGGCCCCTTAACTTCCAAATCACAAAAATCACCCAGACCAGCCAGGCATGGGGGCACAAACCCATAATCAGCACTCAGGAGGTTGAGGCAGGAGGATCTCTGAGTTTGTGAGTTCGAGGCCAGCCTGGGCTGCATAGCAAGATTCTATCTAAAGAAAAAAAATATCACCCAATCATCCAGACCAGCTATTAAAAATGCAGCCTCCAGCTCCCTTCCCTGGAGATCAAACCCAATGGGGATCAAAACCCAAAGCTTGTGCACTGAGCTGCACCCCCGCCTTTTATTTTTTATTATTTTATTTTGAGACAGGGTCTGGCAAAATCACTAAATCGCTCGAATTTGAGCTCCTCCTGCTTCAGCCTCTTAGAGTGCTGGGATTACGGGCTGAGCCGCCGCCACGCCGGGTTTAGAGACAAAGCAATTTGACCGAGCAGCTGAGAGAGCTGGGAGCAGAGGCCGAGGCCGGAGGTCAAAGGGAAGCTCTGAGCCGCTGTCAGGAGCTGCAGAACCCGACTCAGTGTCCCAGCCGGGTTTCCTGGGAAGCCTCGAGCCGCCGCCGGTCACGATGACGCAGAGGGAGGCGACCTGCGCCGCCCGGCAGGCGGAGGCCCTGGAGGACAAGGCGGGCAGAAAGCGGCCGCCTGGGAGGTGTGGGGGGCGGACCCGGCCTCGGCCCGGGAGGCTCAGGCCCCGCAGCCACCACAGCAGCGCCCCGCCTCGCTTCTTGGCCTCGGGGAGAGGGGAAGCTGGAGCCAGGTCTTCAGTTCTGCACCTCAGTTTCCTCCCTTGTAAAGTGGAGGAACGGGTGGTAACTTGTAGGAGTTTGTGCATGGAAAGGACGAAATTGGGGCTGAATTCTTTGGGGGAACAGATAAACTGTTGTGTCTGGGTTTTGTTTTTGTTTGTTTGTTTTTGGATTTTTGAGATAGGGTCTCACTATGTTGTCCCTACGTTGCCCCAAACTCGCAGCGATCCTCTTGCCTCAGCCTCCCAGTGCTGGGGTAGCAGGCTCGCACCACCACTCCGGGCTGCCGCCGCCCTGTGGTTAGTCACTCTGTCCTGGTTGCGAGGGCTGGGGCTGGCCTGCTTGGCACAGTGCAGAGCCCAGAGATGCCCTGGGGACTGCAGGCTCGGTCCTGGGAACACCTGAGCCACTGCTCCCTGAGGACCGGAGTGCGTTTGACCTAGAAATTTGAGCTGCTGCTTTCTCCCACACCTGGTCCTGCTCCCCAAATCCTCCTGCCCTCCTCCGCCAGCCTCCCCAAGCCCTGCTTCTTATACCCACCCAGCGAGATCTGTTTTCTCTGCCTTCCTTAATGCCAGAACCTGTGCTATTTGGGGCAGCAACAAACCCAAGAAAAAGACTGCACTTCTCAGGCCTCCCTGAAGCTAGGGTGGTGATCTGATCAAGAGCTGGCCGCTGTAAGTGGGAGTCGTTGGACTGGATTTTGGGGAAACTTCTCTCAAAGGGGGATAGCCCATAAAGTGACTGGGAGAGTTTTGCTTTTGTAAACCCCCCCTTTTTTCCCCCTGCTTCTTGCTTGAAACACGGATGAGGCAGCTGCAGCTCCAGCAGCCATTTTGGGCCATGAGGCGATTGAGTGACTAGAAGCCCTGAGCGAAGGCGAGCAACAGGAAGGTAGGAAGAACTATGTCCCTAGTGACACTGAGGGGCCTCTGCTTCAATTCCAAATAACCTGCTTCTGGGCTGTGTGTATTGCCAGGCATCATATCCAGGGCCTCCCACATGCTAGTGAGTGAGCAATCCCTGAACTATACCCCAGAGCTAGGCTGCTTTTCTTTTTGTACCTGGAATCCAACTCAGGGCCTCATGCTTTCAAGGCAGGTGCTGTGTGGCTGAGCCACATCCCAGGCCATCCCCCACCCCCTTTTTTGAAACAGGGTCTCACTACGTAGTTTAGGCTGTCCTTGAAATTAATCCTCCTGTTTCAGCCTCCTACATGCCAGGATTATGGGTGTGAACCCCTGTCTGTGCCCCTTGGCCTTTGTGGCCTTTGGGAATTGAACCTAAGGCCTTGGCATTCATCTACATCCTAGGCCTTTAAAAACATTCTTTTAATTCTTTTTTTTGTTTGTTTGTTTTTTGAGACAGGGTCCCACTATGTAGTTGAGACCAACCTGGAACTCACTGTGTAGCCCAGGCTGGTCTCGAACTCACAGCGATCCTAATGCCTCAGCCTCTCGAGGGCTGGGGTTACAGGCGTGCACCACCACGCCCGGCTTTTTTATTTTTTTATTCTCCAGACATGGTCTCACTGAATCGAGAAGCTGCCTAGGCTGGACTCAAACTTGCAGTCCTCCCGCCTCAACCTCTGGAGTGAAGGATTACAGGTGTGTGCTGCCACACCTGCCCACAATCCCAATTTTATTCTCTCATTCTGGAGGTTTCACCACCCGGTATCCCAGCTCCAGCTCCAAGGGCCACCCCCAGAAGGGCATCTCCATCCCTGCCCAAGGCCCTTCCTAACCCTGCCCGGACTCTGCCCTCCGCTTCTGACACCAGGACCCCAGGACCTCTGCCTCCGGACTCAGCCCCTCTGGAGAGAGGAGGAGAGGCCTGTGTCCCCTGCTCCCCAGCTCTCCTCACCCTGTTCCTTGCACCCTCAACTCACGTGGGTGGACCCTGAGGTCGCCGGGCTTTACTTGAAAACGGGCCGCTGCCTGAGCGTAAGCGGCTGTGCCTCAGGGCTGCTTGGTGCCCTGGGGATCAGGACCCTTGCGTAGAACCTGGGGTGCCCCAGGACGCCCCGAGCGTGGGCGGGCACGGAGACCAGGCGCGCATGCGCCAGGACGGTGGGCGGGCGGTGCAGAAGGAGAGGCCACACAGGTGCGCTGACCAGGACGTTTATGCCCGCGTCTCTGTGACAGGAGGGAGCAGGGCTCCAGGGCTCTAACTCTAGGTGGAGACAGGGGCCGGGCTTCAGCCGAGTCCTGCTGGAGGCCGAGGGGGGAGTGACAGGAACTGCTCTTCTCTCCGGAGGCCTCAGCAGTGGTCTCGCTGCTACTCCAGGGCTGTGGGGAGGACAGGCAGGGGGAAAAGGGGACAGAGAGGACCTCAGCCAGCTGTAGGCCAAGGCCCGGCCCCCTGCCCTCCTGCTGCCCTGCCCACCCCGCAGCCCCACCCGCCCCGGTGCTCAGCCTGTGCTGGGTTCAGGGTCAGGAGGATAGCGCTGGTCGTCATGCGAGGGAGGGAGCTGGGTGTGAGAGGAGAGACAGGTGAGTAGAGATCTGCAGCCAGGTGGGCAGATGGTGGGACCCCGCCCATCTCCCAGGGACGAAGGCCAGGGGGCCACGACTGAGGCGATCCCAGAAGAGAGTGGGCCCAGGGGCGGTGATTGGGTCCCTGGTCCTGAAAGCTGCCAGTCCGAGGGTTACAGCACCGTTCCTGACCCAGACCCAGGACTCCTGAGAGCGCCCAGTCTGACGGTGGAGGCGATTCCAGGCCCAGGAAGGGACCTCGTTCCCAGTCTGAGAGATTCCTGTCCAGTGCACCTGGTTCAGCAGCAGGGCTCTCAGACCTCTGGAAGTGCACGGTCAGTTGGCGGGGACCTGGACCCTGACCCTGGGAGCCCCAGTCTGATGGAGGAGACACGGACCGTGACTCTGGAGCCCCAGTCTGATGGAGGAGACCTGGACCCTGACCCTGGAGCTCCAGTCAGATGGAGGAGACCCAGACCTTAACTCTGGAGCCCCGGTCTGATGGAGGAGACCCGGACCTTGACTCTGGAGCCCCGGTCTGATGGAGGAGACACAGACTGTGACCCTGGAACCCCAGGCTGATGGAGAAGACACGGACCGTGACTCTGGAGCCCCAGTCTGATGGAGGAGACACAGACCGTGACCTCTGGAGCCCCAGCCTGATGGAGGAGACACAGACCCTGACTCTGGAGCCCCAGTCTGATGGAGGACACAGACCGTGACCTCTGGAGCCCCAGCCTGATGGAGGAGACACAGACCCTGACTCTGGAGCCCCAGTCTGATGGAGGAAACCTGAATCCTGACTCTGAGCCCCAGCCTGATGGAGGAGACAGGGACCCCGACTCTGGGGCCCCAGCCTGATGGAGGAGACACAGACCCTGACTCTGGAGCCCCAGTCTGATGGAGAAGACATGGACCGTGACTCTGGAGCCCCAGTCTGATGGAGAAGACATGGACCGTGACTCTGGAGCCCCAGTCTGATGGAGGAGACACAGACCCTGACTCTGGAGCCCCAGTCTGATGGAGGAAACCTGGATCCTGACTCTGAGCCCCAGCCTGATGGAGGAGACAGGGACCCTGACTCTGGAGCCCCAGCCTGATGGAGGAGACACAGACCCTGACTCTGGAGCCCCAGTCTGATGGAGGAAACCTGAATCCTGACTCTGAGCCCCAGCCTGATGGAGGAGACAGGGACCCTGACTCTGGAGCCCCAGCCTGATGGAGGAGACACAGACCCTGACTCTGGAGCCCCAGTCTGATGGAGAAAACCTGGATCCTGACTCTGAGCCCCAGCCTGATGGAGGAGACAGGGACCCTGACTCTGGAGCCCCAGCCTGATGGAGGAGACACAGACCCTGACTCTGGAGCCCCAGTCTGATGGAGGAAACCTGGATCCTGACTCTGAGCCCCAGCCTGATGGAGGAGACAGGGACCCTGACTCTGGAGCCCCAGCCTGATGGAGGAGACACAGACCCTGACTCTGGAGCCCCAGTCTGATGGAGAAGACATGGACCGTGACTCTGGAGCCCCAGTCTGATGGAGAAGACATGGACCGTGACTCTGGAGCCCCAGTCTGATGGAGGAGACACAGACCCTGACTCTGGAGCCCCAGTCTGATGGAGGAAACCTGGATCCTGACTCTGAGCCCCAGCCTGATGGAGGAGACAGGGACCCTGACTCTGGAGCCCCAGTCAGATGGAGGAGACACAGACCCTGACCCTGGAGCCCCAGTCAGATGGAGGAGACACAGACCCTGACTCTGGAGCCCCAGTCTGATGGAGGAAACCTGGATCCTGACTCTGAGCCCCAGCCTGATGGAGGAGACAGGGACCCTGACTCTGGAGCCCGAGCCTGATGGAGGAGATCCCGACCCTGAGTCTGCAGCCCCAGTCTGATGGAGGAGACACGGATCCTGACCCTGGAGCCCCAGTCAGATGGAGGAGACACAGACCCTGACCCTGGAGTCCCAGTTAGATGGAGGAGACCTGGATCCTGACCCTGGAGCCCCAGTCTGATGGAGGAGACAGGGACCATGACTCTGGAGCCCCAGTCTGATGGAGGAAACCTGGATCCTGACTCTGGAGCCCCAGCCTGATGGAGGAGATCCCGACCCTGAGTCTGCAGCCCCAGTCTGATGGAGGAGACACGGATCCTGACCCTGGAGCCCCAGTCTGATGGAGGAGACAGGGACCCTGACTCTGGAGCCCCAGTCTGATGGAGGAAACCTGGATCCTGACTCTGAGCCCCAGCCTGATGGAGGAGACAGGGACCCTGACCCTGGAGCCCCAGTCAGATGGAGGAGACCTGGATCCTGACCCTGGAGCCCCAGTCTGATGGAGGAGACAGGGACCCTGACTCTGGAGCCCCAGTCTGATGGAGGAAACCTGGATCCTGACTCTGAGCCCCAGCCTGATGGAGGAGACAGGGACCCTGCCCCTGGAGCCCCAGTCAGATGGAGGAGACCTGGATCCTGACCCTGGAGCCCCAGTCTGATGGAGGAGACACGGATCCTGACCCTGGAGCCCCAGTCTGATGGAGGAGACACGGATCCTGACCCTGGAGCCCCAGTCAGATGGAGGAGACCTGGATCCTGACCCTGGAGCCCCAGTCAGATGGAGGAGACATGGACCCCATGTCTCAGAGCTCCCAGCCTGGTTTGGAGGAGACATGAGTTCCACACCTAGCAGCCTGCACCTGAGTGGAGATCGTCCCTATTTCAGCTTGAGACACAAACTCCACGGATAAGAGGAAAGTTGTCCCCTCTGCACCTCCCGGAGGAAGGGTGACACATGAGCCCCATTTTCTAGGATTTGAGCGTAAAGAGGGGTGCAGGACCCCTCCTGTTCCATGTCCCGTCTGCTGGGGGAGTCAGGCACCCCCTGTTAGCCCAGCTTCCGGCCTGCAGCCCCCAGTGCCCCAGTCTGATGGAGGTGCTCAGCCCCTGGTGGGGGTAACCAGTCTGAGGGAAGAGGTGAGAGCCTGGCTCGGGACCGGTCAGAGGGGGAGGAGGCCCAGCCCCCAGCGCACTCACGGGCCACCTGCAGCTCGAGCTCCAGCGTGTCGGTCTTGCCCTGCAGCGTGACGGTCTTGAGCACGTAGCGGCCGGCATCCGTGAGGTTCAGCTTCTGCACCAGCAGCGAGCAGTTGGAGAAGCCCACCTCCCGGCCCGTGTGCGCCGGGCCCGCGATCCAGTTCCCGGACGGCAGCTGGCTCAGCAGCCGGTTGGGCTCGGAGGCCGGCCCACGGTACCAGGCGTAGACCAGCAGGTCCTTGGGGTAGCCCTGGACCGTCAGGGTCACGTCCTGGCCCTCTGTGGGCTTGGTCGGCACCGGCACAATCATCATGGAGACGGCTGCCGCTGGGGAGACAGTGGGGCTGGGTCAAAGGACCGCACAGGCCAGGACGGTCCTCTTACCCCCAGCTGGCGCATCTGGGCCTCCGCTGGCTGACACAGCTGGTGCAGGTGCTGGAAGGAGACAGGTGGGGATCTCGTGGTGGTGCAGGCGCCATCTCTGTCCTGGCCTGGGATGTCTTTCCTACCAGACTAGGAACTTCCAGCCTTTGGGGTATCTGTGCCATCAGACAGGACACTTGTGTCTCCTTCTTCAGACTGGAAATTCCCAGAATATAGGGGTCGCGTCTCCCCCATTGGATGGTTGGGAATTCTCTCTCCTGCCAGATCAAGGGCTTCCAGAATGTGGGCCCAAGTCCTCCGTGAGGGGAAGGGCGTGTCTCCTTCATCAGACCAGAAAATTGCACATGGTTGGGTGGATCTTCTGGGGACCCCACCAATTAGCTGACTGGGGGCCTGTGCTCGCCCATCAGGTTGGGTACTCTAAAGATAGGACCCGTGTCTTCTCCATCAGACTAGGAACTTTCAAAAACCAAGGTCGTGTCTCCTCCAGGCCCTCTCCCTATCAGAGTGGAAATTCTGCCCCACTGCCTCCTCCCTCCAACCCCAGGCTCCCTGAGCGTGAGTGTCCGTCTCCCTCATCCCTGACTAGGAGTCCCTGGGGAGGAGCTGCATCTTCCCTGTGACTGGCAGCTCCTCCCGTGGCGGGGGGTGCGCCCCTGTGCTTGGGTCTTCTTTCTGTGGGCAGGGACCACGTCTCCTCCATCTGACCGGCGCCTCCCCCGTGGGGAATGGTGATGTCTCTCTTCTCTGTCTCTCTCCCGGCACTTGCCACAGGGCTGCCGACTCTTCTGGATGCCCTTGGGGGTATGTGTCCCCTCCTTGCCATACCTGTGCACCTTGGGCACCGCCGTGTCTGCTCCATATCCTGTCTCCTCCAAGGCCCCAGGCGGGCAGGAGGTCCACTTACCTCGGGGGCTGCCATCCCCATGGGGTGAGTATCCACCCTCTGGACAAGACCCAGCCTGTTAGTGTGAGGGAGCCGACTCTTCTGGATGCCCTTGGGGGTATGTGTCCCCTCCTTGCCATACCTGTGCACCTTGGGCACCGCCGTGTCTGCTCCATATCCTGTCTCCTCCAAGGCCCCAGGCGGGCAGGAGGTCCACTTACCTCGGGGGCTGCCATCCCCATGGGGTGAGTATCCACCCTCTGGACAAGACCCAGCCTGTTAGTGTGAGGGAGAGAGAGAATTAATGAGGCCCAATGCTCAAAGCTGCCATCCCCAGGGCACGGACAAATGTCCCCTGAGAACCAGAAGCTGTGAAACAGCCTCAGTGTGCACTCAACTGCTAGGTCATTTTAGGACAGAGGCAGGAGGACAAGGCCTCCTGCGGTGTTTTCCATCCACGAGCCATTGGCGGTGACTCTCCAGTTGCTACCTAACTTGTGACCACAGCCTGGTCAGCAGCAAGGAAACTTAGAAGATGGTGTGGCCAGGGTGGGTGTGTGCAGCCCCGCGCTGCTGGTGGCTGCAGTGGCGTCCCTGTGAAGGGACATCTGTACTCCCACCGTGGGGCCGTGTGACCCATCCTCACTCTGCCAGCCCTCAAGGGAGAGGCTCTGCTTGGCCGTCGGGCGTCCACGTGACGGCATCGGCACTCTTCTTTGGCACCTAGTGGGACATGTGGTCGCGCGGCCAACAAAGGGGCCCCAAATTCACCACTTTCCAATCCTCTGTTAGGCCAGTGGGGGCCTGACTGTCACGGTCCAGCGGGGCCTCCACGGGGAGGGGTGGTGGCCGGGTGGGGGTGACTCACCGGAGAGCTTGACCACCACCGAGGCAGAGCCAGACAGCAGGGTCTTGGGGTTCTTAGCAATGCACGTGTATGCGCCCTCCTGGGCGGCCGCCATGCCGCTGATGCTGAGATGGTCCCGGCCGTTGTCCAGGGCTCGCCCATTGAAGGCCCACACGTACTCGGGCTCCGGGCACGAGCGGGACACGCACCACAGGGTGAGGGACGTGTTGAAGTCAACTTTGATGGTGCAGCCGGTGAGGGTGGTGGAGTCCTGGACGATGGCCACGCGCTCCGGGCCGACTGCGAGGCAGGAGGGAGAGAGGGGTCAGTGGAGGGCGGGAGGAGAGGTGGCGCCCGGGTTCTCTCCACCAGGCTGTGGCCATCACGGCCCCTGGTGGGAAGAGAGAGCTTGGGCCGTGGAATCCCACCTGGATCTCTAACTTGCTCTGGGATCTTGAGAAGTATCCCCCCCACCCAGGGAAATCTCAGTAGTCTGTGAGGAGTGTGTAGGGCCAGCACATTTCAAGGTAGGTTTCAAACCTATGGCTTTATTGAATAAAAATTCTAAGAGATTTTTCTTCTTTTTGGGATGGAGATTGGTTTTTTGAGACTCACAGTGATCCTCTTGCCTCAGCCTTCCAAGTGCTGGGATTACAGGTATGCGCCATGCCTGGAGATCTCCCCCGCACCCTGGCAAACCATTCTAAGAATCTAGAGTTCTTTTTTTTTTTTTT